AACTGCGAATAATCCACTTACGTGTTCCTCGAAGGTAGCTGAGAAGACGATAACGTCATCTAGATAGACCAAGCATGTATGCCACTTCAGTCCTGATAGCACAGTGTCCATTAAACGCTGAAAAAAGGCTGGCGCAGAGCACAACCCGAATGAAAGCCCTTTAAATTCATAAGGACCATCAAGCGTCACGAAAGCAGTTTTCTCACGGTCTCTCTCGTCGATCTCTATTTGCCAATAGCCACTTCGCAAGTCCATCGATGAGAAATAGCGTGCATGCCGCGGCCGATCAAGAGAGTCATCTATGCGTGGCAGTGGGTAGACGTCTTTCTTCATTACTTGGTTTAACTTGCGGTAATCTATACAGAAACGCAAGCTGCCGTCTTTCTTTTTAACCAATACCACGGAGGATGCCACGGAGGATTTTTAACCAATACCACGGAGAACAACTGCAACGTAAACGTTGCAGTTGTTCTTCAGTGGTGGCATCGACGTAAGGATAGGCGGAAAAGATGACGCTACGTTCTGGAATGTTGATGACAGCATCGTACTCTCGCAGAAAATTCATGCCCAAAATCAACTCTTTACAACAGTGTGGGGAAATGACAAGAGTGGCCACGAAGCTCGAATCACCGATTACGACCCGAGCGGTGCATTTACCGGTTGGCGTCATTAGCTGTCCACCAGCCACTCCTCATGCTCGGCCCACCAAACGGCGTATTGACCTTCTTAAGGCGGTCGGCGAGGTCTTGTCTCATAATAGAGAAGTCAGCACCAGTGTCAACTAGTGCTGTTACGTAGTGTCCGTCTATAATAACGCTAAGGTCGGCACGTACAAATTCATTGGCATTAGTACTCGTGGTTGTCGTCGTCTTCGTCATCATCGTCTTCATGTCGTTTTTGTGTAGAGGCAAGGGGGTCTTTTTGGCGTCTCGTCGATTGACAGCCTGTCCCCAGAGGTCGCGGCAGTTAGTTTCCCTGGCACGGGCTTGGGGAGCGGTTTCTGATGGAATCAGCGTATCTTTGGCGATTCGGAGAATTCTGACCATGTGCAGGTGAGGGAGACCGCCAGCGACAACTTGGTGAAGACGCTTGGTTGGTCGGCAGGTGATCAGCACCATGGTCAGGAGGGTTTTCAGTTTATTCATTCATTCAAAATACAAAATTCGTAGAATGTAGTATGCAGACGAGGGTCCCAAAGTCAAGCGACTGCAGTGGGACCCTCGGTTAACAATAACAATAAAATTATTAATTATAACAGCACGTAAAATACGCAACACATGTGAAAAGTAAACAGTGAACTTACATAAAATAACATCAAGGAAACAAAAAGGCAGTCAGAATGCGACACAAGAACAATAGTAATAAGTTATACAAGTAAAACATAATCACGCCATAAAGCAATAATCTAAATTTGCAAAGTGTTTCTAATTTCATGCCCGGATACATAAGAATCGTTAAGTAATCATCGTTGTCAACCTAGTTATGCAAGATAAAGTTTTTAAGATCACGTTTTAATGCATGAAAAGATGACGATGATTTTAGTGTATAGGGCAGGTTATTTCACAATTTAATGACCGCGAAGGCGGACGTGATTTTGCCATAATTGGTGTTACATTTAGATAAAAGGAAGTTGTGACTGTGGGCGAATCTAGTGCTATTGGAGTTAGTGAGTAAACTAGCATCGATTAAATCAAACACAAGCTATTTGTTAAGTTGTCTATATAACAATATTATTAAGTGAAAATTAAATAAGCCAGACACAGTAAGAATACAGTTAGCCTGAAGGAGTGGGGTAGCATTAGAATAAGATGAACTGTTGATAATAATGGGAATGGCCTGATTCTGAATGTGCTGTACAGACGAAATATGAATGTTATATGTATTTCCCCATGATGTAATGCCATAGTGTTACTATGTATGAAGGCAAAGTATAAAGACAATAAGACTTCAAGTGAAAAAAAAAGACGAGATTTGATGAGTGATCTTATACCAAATGCTGTTTTTTGTTTGACGTAAAAAATATGATTGGTGAACTTTAAATGAGGGTGTAATTTTACGCCCAGAAAACACACACAGTTAGACGCAGGAATGAAATGATTGTCAATGAACACTTGTGGAATGAAAGGTAGCATTTTTTGTGATGTTTTAAAAACCATGAACTGAGTTTTGAGCGGGTTTAAAATGTTTAAGCAACACCATTCAATGACATTAGTCAGTTCTTTGTCCAACATATTGATCAGAGTAGGTAATGATTTATGCGATATGGAAATGGTCGTATCATCAGCGTAAAGAATAACTTTAGAATCTCTAAGGCAGTCAGGCAAATCATTAATATAGATACAAAACAGTAAGGGTCCAAGAATAGAACCCTGTGGGACCCCTTGATTAATTATCTTAACATTAGAATTAACACCCCCAATGCAGACTGATTGTTCACGATCAAGAAGGTAGTTTTTTATGAAGGTCGAGGATGGGCCAGTGATACCCAAGGACTCTAATTTGCTAAATAAAATATTATGACTAATGGTATCAAAGGCTTTCGTGAAATCAAGAAATATAGACCCTGTGAAATTACCGTTGTCGATGGACGTTTTCAAGAAATCGGTTAATGATAGCAATGCTAAATTCGTAGAACTACCAGCCCTGAAACCGAATTGACAAGGCTTTGGCAGCTTAAATTTATTGAGGTACTTGTTAATACGTTTCACAAATAATTTTTCAATAAGTTTGCTGATGGAAGACAAAATAGAAATAGGGCGGTAGTTACATCATCTGTCGTATCACCTTTTCTGTGTACTGGTATTACCTTGGCTTTTTTCAGTGAGCTCGGAAATATACCATGTTTAAAAATGACATTAATTATATTGCTTAAGACTTCTGAGATGTCTGAAGCAGCAAGTTTCAAATGAAACGCCGATACATTGTCTAGTATTACTGTTAGGGTCTTCAAAATAAAATGAAGCGGGCCGAGAAAAGTTTCCAAACAGGGCTTCTTGATGACGGCAGTAGCGCGAGATGTGGCCTGGTTCGCCACAGTGGAAACAAAGGGGTCGACGGTCGGCAGTGCGCCACAAGTCGGTCCGACGTACTGGTGGTCCCCGCACAGGTTCCCGCTGCCACCACGGCAAGGTAACGGGCTGTGGCTGAAAGGGTGCTTCTTCTGGGGCAGGCGGATGACAGCGGACGGCATCAGCATAGGTTAGTGGACGTGGTTCGGGTGGTGGCGCCGGTGATGGAAAGGCTTGCCGTAGTTCTTGGCGCACGATTTCCGCAACAGAAGCAACTGGAGGCTCGGTAGACGGAAGGCCGAGGGCCCGCAGCTCTTCCCGCAGAATTTGCCGAATCATTTGCCGTAAAGAGTATTCGGTAACAGCAGCGTTTTGAGCGGCGGCACCAACAGGCGTTTGGTCGGGCAGGCGGTTAAAGTGGCGGCATCGTTGCCGGAGCGCTCACTCAATGACAGTCGCCTCTTTGATGAATTCATCCACTGTTGTTGGCGGATTTCGTACAAGGCTGGCGAAAATCGATTCTTTAACTCCCCACATCAGGTGATGAACTTTCCTTGCCTCGGGCATGTCAGGATCAGCGCGGCGAAATAGACGGGCCATATCCTCAGCGAACATGGCGACGCTTTAGTTCGGCTTTTGCACGCGGGCTTCAATCATCTGTTGTGCGAGATCCCGTCGGTCCGCACTCAGGAACGTCTCCAGACGCTTTTGGCAGAAATTGTCCCAAGTTTGGAAAATAGGCTTCCTGTTCTCGTACCATGTGCGAGCGCTATTTTCCATTGCGAAGTAGGCACAGCCAAGTTTCTCTTGCACGCTCCAATGATTCACCACAGCGGTCTGCTCGAACTGGTCGAGCCAGTCCTCGACATCTTCATACGGTTCTCCACGGAAGACTTTCGGGAACACGAGGAGTCTAAAAAGTTACCTGGTAAGGATGAGTCGTCTGGGCCGGAGGAAGATTCGCAGACGTTGAAGGGGCTGCCATGTTGGTAACAGGAGATGCCGTCAAGAGTTCTGGACTTAGGCCTAGTAGGCACCGGCTGAATCAGTGTACCGTAGTCGTAACAAGATGTTGAGGCTCCGGACTGAGCGTACGGTCCCGAACAACGCTTTCTTGCATCAGGTTGCAGACCCCAGCACCTTCACCAGTGTCGCGACGTGAAGACAGAGGTCATATTTGAAGACGCTGAGAAAGCAGCAGCGGGTCGGTCTTTTTATTAAGCACGCGCCAGAGAGTTCCTTGTCTTTCTCGTTGTTGCGTTCTGTATAAAAGCGTGCAGATGCGCGTAGGCCCTGTCGCCTTCGTCTTTTTCGCGGGACGCACATGACATAGAAAGGGCACGAGACGGCCTTTCGTGTCGTTGTTCTCTGTGCTGCGTACAACACATCATCCTCAGAGTTCCTGCTTTCTATTGATTGTTGGCACAATTTACCACATCATTTGACAGAGCTGGCAGATCTATGCATATGAAAAAATGTGTAGAGATGTTGTGTATGTTTACTCCTTTCTTTTTCGCTTTTGTGTGCTTGGAATAATATCCCCGTAAAGCAAAGCTTCGTTTGATGTTCATACTTGTGTAAATTATGTTGATGTGAAGCACAACAGCATTTTAGGTAGAAATGGTTAGAGTTGAGAGGTGCTCGACAGGCCGTAAAATGTGAAGGAATAGTACTGCTCTCAGGGGGGCCATTATTTAAAAAAGTTAGATCTGGTGTCTGCCTTCGCTGGTACTATAAGCTCACTGATGCTGGCATGTATCGGGAACACACCAAAGGATCAGTATCTTAGAAAATGGACATTAGACATGCGTGACACACTATTTTTGCACCTTAATGCTTTTGTCCTCCCTTTCTCTTCTGCATTATCTGTTTTATGTATGGTGTGAGATGCTGCATAATAAATGTGCACATGCTCTTGCAAATTAAGAGTAAGCATTGTAGTCATGGCACATAAAACATTTAATAAAATAATGAAATTATTGGAGCCACTAGCTGTATTGCACAAACTTTATTGCAATCTTTTCTGATAAAGAAATAAAAAAAAGTGCATTGAATGCTTAGTACATTGATGTCGGCAATACCTTAATTGACTGTTAAACAGAAAAAAAAAAGCATGGGCAAGGCATATTTCCTTCCCCCGCATAATCAACAACATTACTATTTTGTACACAACTGAATCTGGACATTTCATATACACATAGATGTTAGGAAAAGAAATATAGTCACTTTTGCTCAGAGTTTGAAACTGGTGGTGCAATTAGAGACGACTGGAATTTTCTTGCTTTAAGCTTGACAAATGGCACTTCTGGAAATTTTGCTGGCCATTGGTAGCGCCTGTACCTTGTGGAGAGCATTTAGTTCTTGCAGAAAGTGTTGATTTGATTGTGCTTTCCAGGTGGCATATCCATTGGCTCTTCTGTTTGTTGTGCATGTTTTTAGAAAAAACTGAAGGCCATTGATGTTATCTTTGGTACCTTGATGTTGACCAGTTGCGCTCACACAACACACACTCTTTGTCATGGAAGTCTTGAAACTGTAACAAAATAAGAGTAAAAAAAAAGCTTCTACTCGTAAGCTCGTGCGACTACTCGTGGGACGTTGAACCCCACATATCTATCAATCTACTCGAAAGCTTGTGTGAATATTAGAGCAATTTGAATCGAGTTTTAATTTTTGCAAATTTGAAAGCATTAGAAATGAATGATTAACTGTATATTGACATGCATGTAATCTGCCTGTAAATGTGCAGTAGAAGGGTTCTACGCCGTGAATACACCTATTCAGGGGAAATCTGCACTAATGCGAACCCCCACTTCGAGGTTAAGTGAACATACATACTACCCTCACTTTGATTCCTCATTTTTGAAGTTGCTCTAAGCTCTGTGTATGCTTCAAGTATAAGAAATCTTGAAACTTGACATATTTTACATAAATTGTCACTTGCATTCTACTGAAAGCCACTTTCTGCTACTATTCAGTTGCTCCCACTTTCTTAAGACCAATAGTAATGACATTTGCACAGGCCTTACTTCAATTTAAAAAAATGCTCAACTTTCTTCATAATATGTAATATGCATCATTCCAGTACTGTTTAAAATTATTACACCAAATCACTATTTGCTTTGAACGTAAAATCAACTATTTGCAAAGCCTATTCACTTGTAATACAGAGAAATGATGGCGACATCTTTGTGCAATTATCATAGTCGGGTACGACCCTCTTTTTCTCTAGAAAAACTGGGAATTCATAATATGAACATTTTAGCACTATGACGCATAGTAAACTTACCAAAAAAGATCTGCAGTGGCTGCACTCACATCTTTGAAGGCTGTCAGCAACTTTATGCATCTTCTTCATTCATGTCACTCTGCTCATTAGGCGTTGCCGACAGGTAGTCACATTGGCCACAGGACAACGGGAAGACTAGCGATAAAATCTGAAGGAGGATCATGCAGAAGACAGAAAAAAACAGCCTGATATGCAAGTGTTTTTTTTTTTTTTGCAGTGTGCTTATTCTCGTGCTGCCGTCTTACTATGAATAAATCTAGAAGGATGCTCACATGGAATACTAAATCAATATATTACTTTTTATGTTTTTTTAATGATTGCATAATTTTCTCTCTTACTTTTAGTATTGATGTTCTTGAAAAACAAAAAAAGCTTTCTCAGTGGTGCAAAAATACACCCACTTTTTTATTTTATATTGACATCAAAACTGTAGAACCCACAATGTTAAAGTTGCATAAAAAATATGAGTGTATTTTGAATACTTGGATATTCATAAGGGCAAAACGTTGGGCCATTATTTGCTTGACTCGTAATTGATGAAAATATTTTCAAAAGAACTCCTTATTAATAGCGTATTAAAAGAGTAAAAAGTGCTTATGATCTTTAAAATACTAATATAGGTCACTTTATATCGAATGTACACCATAATGAATAACAATGTAGTCTGGATATAAATAATAATTTGTTATATTGCTAATTTCGTTGTTGAGGAATTAGATAATAATGTTAGTTGATTGAGTACTCATGCTTCAACTCTTTAACTGAAAGAAATGCTGCTATGTTTGTAAAAAAATAATTTTTTTCACTGTAGCATTGAGTGTAAGTACTATGAAAATTGCTTAAATGAAAAATCAGTGTTTTAATTGGTAAGATAATACAAAATTTCGTTATTTGTAACTGAAGATTTGACCGTTATGCAAGTGAAACCACACATGCAAGCCTTGAAAAATTTTTCCCAAAGTGAAACAGTCAAAATACCTTTAAATCTCGAGCAAGCACTTCTTTTTCTTCTTCGAGGATTTAATATATACATCCTCTTATCCCTTTTCAACTGTTTCATTAAGTGTTTTTATTTGTTTTTTTATGTGCTCCAAACAATATTTTTTAACGGAAGAAACTACAGAAAAAATATAACTGAATTACAAGAAAGTTGGCATCTCTGCATGGCTTGCAATTCTTTTTTTTTTTTTTTCAGCAGTGTTGTTGGAGAGAACAGTACTAAGATATGGCACCACCATGTGTACACTGTCGTCCTTTATGAAAGGGAACACGCAAGCACGTGGTTTGCCCTCTGATGCGGCTGCCTACAGCACTATCAACCGACAGATAAAGAAATCATGTGCGCTTTAGGCGGCCTCATCCGTGGCGAGACTGGAGCGGAAGCGTAATCTAGCAGTGCTTGTTCCACGGCCAAGACTCATTTTGTTTGCAAATACATATCGCCAAAAGTGGACATGCTTTCTTCAGTTGTTGGTTGATGGTGCTACTATAGGCAGCCGCCACACAACGCTGGCCATATGCTCGCGTGTTCCCTTTTATAAAGGACTACAGTGTATATAAAAATCAAAGAAAAAAACTACCCATGCGCTTGCTCAGGTAATCTTTGGTTAGAGAAAGTAATTTTTGGCCAAGGACAGCCTCAATTAGCCCCCACAGTAATAGCCATACAAAATGGTTGGATGTGCTGGGCGTGTGTACAGGTGCGAAAGTGCTAGGTCATCTTAGCGATTCTTTTTTCAACTAGGGGAACGGGAAGCACAACCACAAATAGTGCACAGAGGCATGCTTTGATGCATGTAATTAAAAGCCCTCACTCATATGGATTATCGCTAGCATTTTGATAACTGTTTTCATGCACTAAACCTGTCAGGGCTGTGAACATAACTTAATCTGGAAGGCATTCTACAAGCATTACAACTGTCATTCACAATGTTACTATATGTCAGTGCCGAGTTTGCTTGCTGTGATAGCAGCCTAATTTTCTGCCAGGAGACTGCATATGAGTTTTGTTCTAAAAAATTCACTCTAGCAGATAAGCTTTAAACCTTCCGAACGCAACTTATAAAGAACTGTCTATAAATGCGTCAGACTTATACAACTTTGTTTCAAGACACTCTATATTCTATTGCAATAAAAATGTTGTCATAAAGTGTTGATTTATATTTTATATAATAATAATCTTAATTAAGTTATAATAAAATATCTATTCATGCTAACGTAATATGTGCCGTTTTTCCATAAAAAGAATCGAATCTGAAGTTGGACATAAAGTGCAAACTTTTTTCACATTTGTTGATTTCGAGTGAGGAAAAATGATAGTTCTGATGGAGCTTGGAGAAAGTGGCGCTTCGAACAACTCTTTAGAGGGCCAGTAAACAACCCCGCAGTATAAAATGTGTGATGGAGTAATAACTGCGCACTTGTACGATGTGAACATCTTGCTGCTGGAATTTTGCGAATAAGTGCTATAATAAAAAGGGTAGAAGACAACCCGCTTCAGCTGGTTTTCGTTTTTTTTCTCGGCAGCCAAGAGGCGTAGCTGACTGTGGTGATTAAGCCCACCACAGCCAGCACTGCAACAAGACGTTACCATCAGCTCACAACAAAGCAAGGCTACCTCCATATGACGCTCTCGTCTGAGTGGATCACCCTAGAGGTGCGGTGAAGCTCGGTAAATGTGGGGCAGAAACTGCATCTCTGCAGGGCGAAGGCGCCATTTCATAGTGCAGAGGACCAATCATTGAAGTTGGCGGCAAGATTACATCACTTTTCGTATGAGGGGATTGTACGGGTGCTGGTAAGGGACTTCAGAATGGTTTTTTTTAAATGGCCCGTCTGTGCAGCGCTGCGCTGTTCATAAAATGTGATTGCATGAACTGGCAAGCTTGTTTGGTAGATGTGGGAGGAAAAATAAAGTCAGAGCCTGTTTACTGGCTACTTTCAAACATGGCAGTACCTTCAGAGAAGTGATCACATGCAACAGCAAACTTGACAACGCAGTGGCCTACCAACTCTTTCACGAGTGGGGGGGGCTAACCCACCGCACTCCACAGCCGGTATATATGTATATATTCATATATATATTTATTAAGACACAGAAAACTTCTTTGATGCACCCGCACTTTCATGTGGTTTTTCGTACACACAGCACTTGTTTAATAGCGTAAAAAAATACAGCCAGTTTCAAGCAGCATGCACTGGGACAACACATATATGTTTTTCATGCATGATGCATGTAATATTATTACAGACGATGCTTTTTATGCATTATCTTACAACTTTCCGCATGAATACAATTATGCTGATGGTGGCCTCCTCAACAGTGAATATTTTGTGATTGAATCAAATTTTGAATTACTAAAAACAGCTCACAAAAAATTCAGTTTTGAAATGTGAAGCACTCTTTGAGGAACCAAAGGTATTTTGAGTATTTTTATCTACTTATTTTAGCTTCCCACCGAGCTCGAGTCTACTGATTTATTCGTCGCCTCTTTACAAGCTGCCTCCATCACTCCAAGTTGCCATAAGCAAGGATGATCAGATTCATCGGAGATTCAAGCGGAAACCTTTCTTGGCACTTCCAGTATGACAAAACTAAAATATTTAGAAAGATTAGTCGCAATCATGAGCTCACAGCAGCTTCGACAGAGCAGCGGTCATGGTAATCCTTTTTAATGAAAGAAAATGATTTTCCTGAAGCAGCATATGCTTTCACCAGTCCACAAAAAAGTTTGTTCGTTCCCATCTATAACTGCATCGGCCAGCCGCAGCAGAACAAAAACATGAACAAGTGATGTAATATATAGGGCCACTGTTCAGCGCTAGCCTGCTCTACAGTTCTACTGCACAGGGCGGAAAGCGTCGCAAAGAGCCTTCAAGAAAAATCGTCACTGCTGAAAATGGTGAAAAATTATCACTATAACGTACGTTTGCCTCGAAATATTTTTTTTTCGTAACACATATTTGAGTGATTACAGTGGTGAAGGAAGATTGTGCCTTAGTTGTTGTTTTCCCCAGCCGTGCAGCTGACAGTAACCACTGTCGAAAGTGAGGAGGCTCAGCGCCCCCCCCCCCCCCCCAACTTTTTTCAGTGGGGGGCTAGCGCTCCCCTTGCCCTCCCGGCTGATACACCTATGTGACAATGTAGTTAAAGACATCTATTATGCAGAAGTTTCAATTCATCTAAACCTCAAAGTGTCTTGCTGTTTCTTCACCACTAGTCAATATAACTAACAAATGTACAATATTTTGTACAAACTAGGGTTAAACTCATTCAGACCATGCATTAGTGCATCTAAAAGCTACTGGCCCTACACATGACATGGTTTTTTTTTTTCATGTAATGAGTTGGTTTGAACAAAATGCTGCCTTGCTGTATGAGCTGTGCCATGTCTTCCTGTGCATCTTGTTTTGCTCGGGAAATGAATTGCACTCAAGAAAGTTGGCGAAACAATTTCGCTTAAAAAGCTAGGTGTACATTTAGGTAGTCATTACGGGGCACTCCAAACCTTGAATAGCTGCAGCTCCTTGTGTGTATAAGGTGCAGGTTTCTGCTCTGAAACAAAAGCCAAAAGCTGTCTGAACTCATCTTCACTCAGTGCGGCTAAAGTGGCTGTCCAGAAAAGCTCCTTTGCCTCAGCCAAAACTCTGCTTCCTCTGTCCTCGAGGCTCTTCAATATTGCATCCTGAATGACAACAGTGAAAAAAAAAGATGATGAGCTTTCAGAAGATGCATGAATAAACCTTTAAATAAGCTCGATGTTACCTTCTGCATATCGCAAAAACAGGCAATTTCATTGTTAAACTGAGAATAAGGAAGAATAAAGCATTAAATCTTGTTTTACACTAAAGTTGATTGTCAATGCAAGGCACCGTGGTGAGCCTAGTAGGCTTAATTATGGTGAAGTACAAATGACAAATTGTGAACACCATAATAGGATTACAGCAGCTTCATTATCATAATTAATACATCAGTCCTTATTAGCATTTAATAATATTTTCGACAGGAATGAAACTGCAAGACACTATAGCAATTGGTGCACAACACTCAATTATCTGGTGACTTCTCTATGCCAGTGTGCTAAATGCAACAAACATGAGCAATTGACTACCGAGAGTTTCATTTATCATTTTGATAACAGCTTTTCTCCACATTTCAGATTTTTTACATTTAACCGAACTGTTTTCAGACACCTTTGCTACACAAAATTCCCGAAACTCAATTTTTTTTTCACACACCAAATAATTAACCGAACTGTTCTACATGGAATTCGTCATGCCTTTCTCATTTAAAAAGTATAATAAGCTCTTGTATGCAATCTGCCACAACTGACACATTTAATGGTATCTTTAATCTTAAGACTTGAACATTAAACTTTGCTGTCTGGAACCATTTGTTCTCAGTTGTTAAACAACTTACTTGAACTTCAATGCTATTAGTACATTTTGTTTCTTCATGTTTTTTCTATATACTTCCTGTACATTTTTATGGTTCACCATTCTTTCCATTAGGCCTAAATGATGATGCAATGTAATAAAAAATTTAGTAAAATAGATAAGTACGTTTTTCTTTTTTTCATAGCTTGCATGGAGTCAAGCGCACAGTTTGCTCTCGTACAAAGAAACTCATAGGAACATGCTTTTACCTGACTAGAAGCTATCTGTGATGATTTATGAAGACGTAGTGTGTCGAGCAAGTTGCTTAATAAAAAAAATTTAGTAAAATAGATAAGTACGTTTTTCTTTTTTTCATAGCTTGCATGGAGTCAAGCGCACAGTTTGCTCTCGTACAAAGATACTCATAGGAATATGCTTTTACCCGACTAGAAGCAATCTCCGATGATTTCTGGAGACGTAGTGCGTCGAGCAAGTTGCCACATTCAACACTGTCTCTCGTTAGCTCCTCCACGAGCCGTGCGCCTGTTAGAGCAAGAGCAAAAAGGAAAATGGTGTTTCATACTCTTCCTTACCAGCATGTTTGTAGTTGCTGAAAAATTAAAGCTTTTTTTAAGTCCTGACTAAGGTAGTGTGCTCCTGCATTTTACCACAAAAACCTTCACTTCGATCAACTTCCACTTGGGGAGAGAATGAAAAGAAAGATAAATAGTCATCAGGCTAAGAAATAAGCAACTATGTGCATTAAGAATGGAATACACTATATTGCAGTCCAGATTTCTATCTATCACAAAAAAATATCCTCAAGTAAGCAGAGTATATTCTTGTTATTTTATTTCACAATACTATTCGTGTGCAGGGCCAGGCAGCTAAAATAAAAGCTTTATAACTCAATGAAAACATTGATTTACCAGCATTTATCAAAGTTACTTCGGTTACGAGGAAACATTGACAGGTTGCTGAGCTCTCATATGTGACGAAACGGTGCCAAATATAGCAAGCATTAAAGAGGCTTCACAACCCTTTTCAGCATGGTCATTTATCATAATTATTTCAGGTACAAGAAAATTTTGACGAGTTGCTGAGTTTTCAACATAACGAAACCGTGCTAAATCTGGTGAGCTATATAAGAGGCTCTGCAACCCTTTTCAGCATGGTCATAAAATGCTGCTGGTCGGTAGTTGAGGCTCCTTAGAGGATGTGAGCCAAACATTACAACGCAGCATGCCATTCACAATTAATTCTCAAAGCCAGCGAGAAATAGCTCATTCGTCTCCTGACAAATGATGCGCTAAAGTCAAAGTCCACGGCCACTTGAGCATTGTGAGCTGCATTGTGAGTTAGTATTAAAAAAAAACAGAGTCTAAACACTGTCCTTTAAAAGTAGAAATTTAAGACAGAAGGCCATGAACAGAGGTACATGATTATGAATTGTTCTAAAAATGGCCAAACAGGCCCTTACTCAGTCGAAAGACTAGATTAGGAGCGAGACTGCTCTCTTCAGGAACACTCAGGAACACTTGAACTATGTCTAATATGTGAATGTGATTCCAATGCAACAATGTAGTGCTATAAAAGTGCAGAATCGCAATTCAAGTTCAAAGAAAAATCCAGCCATTATTATTACTTAGCACTGAATTTAGTCACTTGCTGTGTACATTGCAATTTAAAATTTAAAAAATGTAGCCACAATTATTATGTACGTAGCACTGCATTTATCCACTCTCTATGTACTGGTTTGATTTATAACTGGTTTTCAGGTTTCTTTCATTTTCCAGCACACTGAGCAGTATATGGCAGACACTAAATCATTGATATTCAAGAAATAGGTACGAATACATAAACGCACAAGTTGCAAGTATAGGTGAGAATTTAACCGTTTGTTTGTTCATTCAATTGCCGTACAAACAATATCATGTTTGCTAAGCGGAAAGAGTTCCTTACTTCTATAACCTGAGTGCCAGGGAGTTCTTGTATTTGCTGTCAACACTTTCTCTAAAATGTCTTCCAGATGTAGCTGTGCTGTTAGCATATTTTTATGCAGCAGTATAAATGACTTCAGTGCTTTCACATCAAGGTCACAATAGAGTTTGTGCAGAAGCTCCATACGGTATGACCCAGACAGTGACAACGGCACGAGATGCCGAGAGTATGACCTTACTACAGCCATGCTGAAACAAACAAAAAAAAGAACCGTTTTTGTTCAGAAACCAGACAAAGGGATCTTCGTGTGAAACATGAGTACATTTAAGCTATTTTCTGCATGTTAGTGATGTATACAATGAAATTCATTTGCTTAATGATTACACTTTCGTTATCTGTTGGCTTCGTATGTGGTCCGAATTTCACTGTAATAATTTCACTATACAGGTCACTTCTGTAGTTTTTTTTGTTATTGCAATGGTAAACACAGTCTTTTTTAGTATAGAAGCATTCACTCACCGGTCACTGGCATTTGCAGTCTGATATGCCTCCATGATGATATTGGAAATTTTAGAAATAAACTTTGGGGGGCACAATCGATCCAAGGAAATGCTTCTGTAAAGTTTTCCAAGGCTATAAATAGCTTTTTGGCGAATTTTAGACTGAAAGAGAAAAACAGTTAGTATAACCATGTAGCGAAATCATGTGGGTTGTAAATAAAGTTGTGGCAATCACTTCAACAAATAGTACAGAGCTTTTACAGAAAATCGTGGTACACTGCTACATGGAGCAATGAAGAAAAGCTTGAAGAGAAGTTATGAGAAGCCATGCAGAGTGCACTGGAAATAGATCAGAAATACAGCCAGAGATGTGCTAATTTTGTTTTAACACCTTGTCACTCTTTTATGGGTGCTAGGTATTCTATACGTGCCGTAGTGGATATTGTTATGCCAGCGAGTCCTCGTCAAACGACCGTGCCTCTGAAAAAGGCAATCTGGGTCAAGGCCAGCCCGCCGTCTGCCCGACGCGAACATCTCAACGGCGTGAACATGCGCGGCGCCTCTCTCGCCCACGTGCATTGAGTCATCGGCGCACGTGACAGCGAGCCGGCGTTCTCGTGCCGGGTGGTCTGACGCATGGCGCGGCGACCCCCATTGGCGGAATCTGCCCGGACGACCCGCGGCGCTTCTGATTGGACATTTTGGGTGGACCCGGTGTAAATAAAAGAAGCCCTGCGACGCGTCGCGATCGGCGGTCCTATGTGAGAGGCGTCCCCGTGTCGGAGTGCCGACATGTGTGTGAGTCAGCGGTCTTAGGCGAAAGACTGACCTATGTGTTAGAGAGAAGAGCTCGGCTCTTCGAGTCTCTGTCGGCCCCAGTGCCGAAATTGTAACGCCTCTGTAAATATGCTGTACATAAACCTTGTTTAACTCACCGTCGTCTCGTCCGCTCGTCTTATCAGCTCTGCGCAGAAGCAGTCGCGAGCTGATAAACATACGCTACCAAACGGCTGGTGACCTTCCCGGCGGAGTTGAAAGCAGTGGCGCCTCCGGGGCCGTGTTGGCGTCGCCGTCTTTCGCAACAGTGGTGGCTTCGGCGGGATCGGTCCGTCGTTCGCAACAGTGGAGGTCAGCGGCGGGATTTCGGAGGCCGTTTCTCAACAGTGGTTGGCAGCTGCGGGATCGGCCGGCGTCAGCGACATCGATGCGGTGAGTGCCTGATGTTTTCCCCTCAGTTCACCAGACTACTCTAGCTCAGGTTGTAGTAGTTTAGAGAAGGGCTGTGTGAAGCATTAAAGTAAGCTTTGATCGTTTCAAGCCAAGTCGAAGCGCTTTGAAACCAAAGTTAATGCAGAGGGGGTAAACACGGCAGTGTTAAAATTGCTTGCGCGTCTTGCTAGTAGGCTTATAGTGGGTACGGCAAGTAGATTCTTAACAGGGGCAAACAGCAAGAGGCTAGTGTGAACGATGGAGAACCTTAAAGTGAAGGAACTCATCGAAATTTGTGAGGAACTCGGCATTACTTTGGGCCGTGCGAAACGAAAGCAAGCGATCCTTGAGATCATGAAGGATGAGGGAGTGTCGGCTGAGGAAGTCGATGAGGCCTGGGTGGATATCAAAGCACGCCGTGAGGAGGCTGAAAGGCGAGAAGTAGAAGCTCGCGAACGTGAGGAGGCTGAAAGGCGCGAAGCTCGCGAACGTGAAGAAAGGCGCGAAGCTCGCGAACGTGAAGAAAGGCGAGAAGCTCGCGAACGTGAAGAGGCTGAAAGGCGCGAACGTCGCGAGCGCGAGGAGGCCGAGAGACAGGAGCGCCTCGAGATGAAACGAATAGAATTGGCAATCCTACAGTGTTCGCAGGCGCCTAGCGCAGCTTCTCCGACGATTCAGGTCAGCGGTATTAGAATTCGGGACCAACTGCCACCGTTCGTAGTAGGCGAGGACATGGCGAAGTATCTCGTCAAGTTTGAACACGTCTGTGAGCGAAACGCTTTGGAGCGGTCTCTTTGGGCGCAGAACCTGTTAGCTCTTCTTCCCGGCGAAGTGTCCGACGCATTAACTTGCTTGTCTAGGGAAGCGTTTGAGAGCTATGACGAGGTTAAGGAAGTGCTCTTGAGACGTTATAAGTTGTCACCCGAGGCTTTCAGGCAAAGGTTCCGGTATGCTAGAAAGGGAATGAGTCACCACGTTGACTTCGCGTTTCGTCTTAAAGCCGATTTGATTGAATGGCTCAAGGGCGAAGGTGTTTATGACGACCGCGATAAGTGGTGGAATGCGTTGCACTGGAGCAATTCTACCGCTGCATCGAGGAGGATTGTCAAACTTTGGCTGCAGGACAAACTTGGTGAAGTACAGCTAAACAAGGCAGCAGAGTTAGCTGAGGAGTATTATACTCGCCGAAAGTTGCATAGCAGGGCAGTGCGCATTGAAAAGGATGAAGAAAGGAGGGCTTTTCAAGAAACCTGATCAATGGAAACCCGCTCCGCACCGTAATTTCCAAAAGGACCCGTCTCTTACGAAGGACAGTGTAGGGAAGGGCAAAACAGAAGCGGAGAGATCGAGTGAGGTTCTACAACACAGGCACAGCTCCTTGTGTGTATAAGGTGCAGGTTTCTGCTCTGAAACAAAAGCCAAAAGCTGTCTGAACTCATCTTCACTCAGTGCGGCTAATGTGGCTGTCCAGAAAAGCTCCTTTGCCTCAGCCAAAACTCTGCTTTCTCTGTCCTCGAGGCTCTTCAATATTGCATCCTGAATGACAACAGTGAAAAAAAAAAGATCATGAGCTTTCGAAGATGCTTGAATAAACCTTTAAATAAACTCGATGTTACTTTCTGCATATTGAAAAAACAGGCAATTTCATTGTTAAACTGAGAATGAAGCAGAATAAAGCATTAAATCTTGTTTTACACTAAAGTTGATTGTCAATGCAAGGCACTGTGGTGAGCCTAGTAGGCTTAATTATGGTGAAGTACAAATGACAAATTGTGAACAGCATAATAGAATTACAGCAGCTTCATTATCATAATTAATACATATGTCCTTTTTAGCATTTAATAATATTTTCGACAGGAATGAAACTGCAAGACACTATAGCAATTGGTGCACAACACTCAATTATCTGGTGACTTCTCTATGCCAGTGTGCTAAATGCAACAAACATGAGCAATTGACTACCGAGAGTTTCATTTATCATTTTGATAACAGCTTTTCTCCACATTTCAGATTTTCTACATTAAACCGAACTGTTTTCAGACACCTTTGCTACACAAAATTCCTGAAACTCAATTTTTTTTTCACACACCAAATAATTAACCAAACTGTTCTACATGGAATTCGTCATGCTTTTCTCATTTAAAAAGTAAAATAAGCTCTTGTATGCAAGTCTGCCACAACTGACACATTTAATGGTATCTTTACCCTTAAGACTTGAACATTAAACTTTGCTGTCTGGAACCATTTGTTCTCAGTTGTTAAACAACTTACTTGAACTACAATGCTATTGGTACATTTTGTTTCATCATGTTTTTTCTATATGCTTCCTGTACATTTTTATGGTTCACCATTCTTTCCATTAGGCCTAAATGATGATGCAATGTAATAAAAATTTTAGTAAAATAGATAAGTACATTTTTCTTTTTTTTCATAGCTTGCATAGAGTCAAGGGCACAGTTTGCTCTCGTACAAAGATACTCATAGGAATATGCTTTTACCCGACTAGAAGCAATCTTTGATGATTTCTGGAGACAAAGTGTGTCAAGCAAGTTGCTTAATAAAAAAAATTTAGTAAATTAGATAAGTACGTTTTTATTTTTTTCATAGCTTGCATGGAGTCAAGCGCACAGTTTGCTCTCGTACAAAGATACTCATAGGAATATGCTTTTACCCGACTAGAAGCAATCTCCGATGATTTCTGGAGACGTAGTGCGTCCAGCAAGTTGCCACATTCAACACTGTCTCTCGTTAGCTCCTCCGCAAGCCGTGCGCCTGTTAGAGCAAGAGCAAAAAGGAAAATGGTGTTTCATACTCTTCCTTACCAGCATGTTTGTAGTTGCTGAAAAATGAACGCTTTTTTTAAGTCCTGACTATGGTAGTGTGCTCCTGCATTTTACCACAAAAACCTTCACTTCGATCAACTTCCACTTGGGGAGAGAATGAAAAGAAAGATAAATAGTCATCAGGCTAAGAAATAAGCAACTATGTGCATTAAGACCGGCATACACTATATTGCAGTCCAGATTTCTATCTATCCCAAAAAGATATCCTCAAGTAAGCAGAGTATTTTCTTGTAATTTTATTTCACAATACTATTTGTGTGCAGGGCCAGGCAGCTAAAATAAAAGCTTTATAACTCAATGAAAACATTGATTTACCAGCATTTATCAAAGTTACTTCGGTTACAAGGAAACATTGACAGGTTGCTGAGCTCTCATATGTGACGAAACGGTGCCAAATTTAGCAAGCATTAAAGAGGCTTCACAACCCTTTTCAGCATGGTCATTTATCATAATTATTTCAGGTACAAGAAAACTTTGACGAGTTGCTGAATTTTCAACCTAACGAAACCGTGCTAAATCTGGTGAGCTATATAAAGAGGCTCTGCAACCCTTTTCAGCATGGTCATAAAATGCTGCTAATCGGTAGTTGAGGCTCCTTAGAGGATGTGAGCCAAACATTACAACGCATCATGCCATTCACAATTAATTCTCAAAGCCAGCGAGAAATAGCTCATTCGTCTCCTGACAAATGCATGCGCTAAAGTCAAAGTCCACGGCCACTTGAGCATTGTTAGCTGCATTGTGAGTTAGTATTAAAAAAAAACAGAGTCTAAACACTGTCCTTTAAAAGTAGAAATTTAAGACAGAAGGCCATGAACAGAGGTACATGATTATGAATTGTTTCTAAAAATGGCCAAACGGGCCCTGACTCAGTCGAAAGACTAGATTAGGAGCGAGACTGCTCTCTTCAGGAACACTCAGGAACACTTGAACTATGTCTAATATGTGAATGTGATTCAATGCAACAATGTAGTGCTATAATAGTGCAGAATCGCAATTTAAGTTCAAAGAAAAATCCAGCCATTATTATTACTTAGCACTGAATTTAGTCACTTGCTGTGTACATTGCAATTTAAAATTTAAAAAATTTAGCCACAATTATTATGTACGTAGCACTGCATTTATCCACTCTCTATGTACTGGTTTGATTTATAACTGGTTTTTAGGTTTCTTTCATTTTCCAGCGCACTGGGCAGTATATGGCAGACACTAAATCATTGATATTCAAGAAATAGGTACGAATACATAATCGCACAAGTTGCAAGTATAAGTGAGAATTTAACCGTTTGTCTGTTCATTCAATTGCCGTACAAACAATAAAATCATGTTTGCTAAGCGGAAAGAGTTTCCTTACCTCTATAACCCGAGTGCCAGGGAGTTCTTGTATTTGCTGTCAACACTTTCTCTAAAATGTCCCTCAGATGTAGCTGTGCTGTTAGCATATTCTTATGCAGCTGCATAAATGACTTCAGTGCTTTCACATCAAGGTCACAATAGAGTTTGTGCAGAAGCTCCATGCGGTATGACCCAGACAGTGACAACGGCACGAGATGCCGAGAGTATGACCTTACTACAGCCATGCTGAAACAAACAAAAAAAAGAACCGTTTTTGTTCAGAAACCAGACAAAGGGATCTTGGTGTGAAACATGAGTACATTTAAGCTATTTTCTGCATGTTGGTGATGTATACAATGAAATTCATTTGCTTAATGATTACACTTTCGTTATCTGTTGGCTTCGTATGTGGTTCGAATTTCACAGTAATAATTTCACTATACAGGTCACTTCTGTAGTTTTTTTTTTGTTATTGCAATGGTAAACACAGTCTTTTTTAGTATAGAAGCATTCACTCACCGGTCACTGGTATTTGCAGTCTGATATGCCTCCATGATGATATTGGAAATTTTAGAAATAAACTTTGGGGGGCACAATCGATCCAAGGCAATGCTTCTGTAAAGTTTTCCAAGGCTATAAATAGCTTTTCGGCGAATTTTAGACTGAAAGAAAAAAACAGTTCACATAACCATGTAGCGAAATCATGTGGGTTGTAAAAAAAGTTGTGGCAATCACTTCACCAAATAGTACAGAGCTTTTACAGAAAATCGTGGTACACTGCTACATGGAGCAATGAAGAAAAGCTTGAAGAGAAGTTATGAGAAGCTATGCAGAATGCACTGGAAATAGATCAGAAATACAGCCGGAGATGTGCTAATTTTGTTTTAACACCTTGTCACTCTTTTATGGGTGCTAGGTATTCTATACGTGCCGTAGTGGATATCGAGTTTACTCATACTCAGTGATGCCACCGAGGTCTTACAATTTAGAGCAAATTTTCGAGCAGCAAAATTTTCATTTTTGAGCACTTTGGAGCAGAGAAATTTTTCATTTGGAGCACTTTAGAGCAGCAAAATTTTCCATTTTGAAGCAATGTAGAGCAGCTAACTTCAAATCCTGGAGGAGAAGCAAGGTGCATGTACATTCAAGGACATAAAAAATTATTCTGAGGCGCTTGTGAAGAGCTGAAAATATTTACATTCATTGCAAATTTCATGGAGCCAATCATCTTAGAAGCACTCCTTATTTAAGTTGATGATGCAAAAATGATGGCGTCATGCTGTTGAGCATTCTGGAAAAACTTGTTCAGTGATTATTTCTGTAGAAAATAAACAGAATACTAGTTGACTAAAATTGTAATTCATGAAATAAGAATATAAATACCCTCTGTCGTCGTTCTGTTCTCACGCTGTAACAATCGTCTCATGGTACCTTATGCATGTTATGAGCTTTAACTTTAAGGTTGTGATTGCTGACGCAAGTGCTACTTGTGACTGGTGTATCCTTCTACCTTGTACTCTCAACACCAACAGACTGTGCAAAAAATGCTTTGCTTTCTCGACCGGCCATATAAGGGTATGCACTGAGCCTTGATCGCAAGGCGGTCACACCATCGTCGTGCCATTTAGAAGGTTCATTCGTACGTGCCGTTCGTGCTGCACAGATAGAATCAAACTGGTCTAGAGCAGCGGAGTGCGTGTCCTGTCGACACTGTTGTTAGCTGTGGCTTCTGACGTTAGCTACAAGCTTCTGTTGATGCTTACATTATAGCACAAGGGCCTAACACACAGTACGACCATATTTGGTAGCATTACGGCGTCTCTCTTCACATATTTCTTAAAAAACACCAGCTGGAGTGGCTGGATGGGCACTCTAGACAAGTCTGATTCCATCTGTATGTGCATTGGCGTACAAGAGATGTTTCGGGGGTCTCTAGTCACCCAAGTTGCGGATATTGAACACCGTGCATGCAGCAAGTTTTTGCGAGTGCACAGACCTTGCAGATGGCAACTCTACTGCTAGCACATCTCCCGGAAGACATCAAGCCTTATTATTTGGTATAACAACAGAATTTATTGGTATCGCATTCACACCTAAGAGCGTAAGGGAAACAAACAAATTGTATTTTATTTTAGATCCGATATCGTGTAACTCAAAAAAAAACCCTGGATAAAGGAACAATGACCACTCTAGTTGCTGAAGCTTTCATGCTGTCAGTTATCTAAATGCGAAGCAGATGTCAGTAGCACAGAAAGTTAACGAGCAGTCTCATTATGCCTCGAGACAGCACGCGCCAGCTACTTCAAGCGATGCAGCAGTCTCCCCTCCGCCCCTCCGTTCAAAACAAAGCAATAAATAGGATGCCGTGATGTTCAATTTTTTTTGTAAGCGTCAGCTATTGAACCTGGAAAGCGTGAAGCGGACATGTAACAAGGCATAGTCGCCTCACAGGCCTTCGACACCAGAACCGCCAGTGATGGCCTCACTATAGCTGCACATATTAAAACTGAATTGCGGTTGCTCCGACCAGGAGGCATGCTTTTATAAATGAGATGACATATAAAAAGAAAGCACACGAGAATTTTCAATTCGGACCCAAGCAAACTTGAGTTCGAAAGGGGCTTTTACTGTCACAGTATTATAAGAAAAGGTCTTCTGTATGATGATCCATACATAAAGTTTATTAGAGGAAGAGTGTCAACGTGTTCCCACCATTTACATGTTCTTCTGCGGATGCGAATTACAAAAAATTTGATCGCAATGTCCAGACATAGACGTGACTGACATTACAATGTGCCCAAACTATGCACATTGTAAGCGGGCACTAAAAATACTGTTCTGGTAGATGATTTTTAACCTTGATCTCAATCTGAATGCAGCATATGCTGTAAATAGTAATCTCTTAAATTGAATTGCTAGTTAAATGGAATAACTGCCTATAATATTATTGGTTTATGACTTGAAAAATATGCTCTTCTGTTCACCTCTCACTGAATGTAGCTTCTGCAAAATCAAACATATTCTTCAGGTTCCTTCATGTTTCGTTTAATGGGTGTCTACTGTACTAATTCTACTACAGCGGGAGTTAACATCACTGTTGCCGATCACATGGAGAGTGACTGAAAATGACAAAATGAACATGCGGCCGGCAAGATTAACTAGACCTCCATTAGCTTTGCACAATCTGTTATTACATGTACATAGTAGGAGTGTGCAAATATTCAGAATTTCGAGTATGTTTTAAAATAGCACTTGCTATTCGATTCGATATGCACAGGACTTTTTGCTATTCGAACAATTCAAGCTTCCCAAAGACAAATGCATTCACCGTCCGACTGAAAGTGACTCTTTCAGAGATTTAATATGCTCCATTTCATCACCCTCTATCATTGTGGCGAAGCTGCTTTCAGGCTCCACTGCGGCTGAACCTTTTGAAACCCGTCAACGCCCAGTTAAAAGTATACTTTGCACCCTAAAAAAAGCTGTTTTTTTAAGGTCCGCTCAGACTCTAAAAAAAAAAAGGAACACTGGTGATCACAGATATATGCACAGGAGGGGGTAGGAAGGGGGGGCGCAATGCCAGCCCCATACAGTGACATTAAGGGTGGGTGGCGAGAGGGGGAGGGGGGGTGCAAAGTCTGTTCCATACACTGACATGATAGGAAGAGGGGCCCCTCCTGTGAAAGGGAACCCTGCGCACGTTTATGCTGGTGATGATAGAGATGATAGAAGTGGCAGGACGTGGGAGCTCAATGCTGTATTGGTGCTAAAATTTGGGCAGAAAGTCCGAAAAATTGGACACTGAATATGTTTAGCATCCAAAATTTCCAATGTTTTTGTTACTCTTAACTGTTTTGTAACTCTTAACACTTGTACGCCACAACTATTGGGCTCCCACAGAAGTTAAAAAAGGAGGAAATAGCATCTGTGCCTTTTATGTGTAAAGTGTTGTTGGCAACACTTTGATTGCACCAAATAATGTACTAACACAATTCGGTCCTGCATTGCCTCATTCTTGATAAGACGACTACGAAATACCACTCTACCAGCGCTTCATCAACCTAGCGAAGAGAAACACTTCATGTTGCTATATCTCATAAGAGTATGCCTAAAAATATGCTCAAACCTTTTTACCCCAAATTTGCTTTAAACTATTAAAAAATATCGTTGAAATATCATCAAAATATTTCAGTTGAATTTGCACTTGCACTTCAATATACGAATTCGCTTTGCACCTAAAATTTTGCTATTTGCACACCTCCTGAGTGATGAAAGGCTGGAATAACGATTACTCACAGAGGCATTGTATTGTGTGTTAGTTGCAAGGAGGACGATCAGCTTGTCTGTGATGATAGTGGAGTCCTCCAGAGCCACCCTTGTGACTGATTCAATAACCATATGCCTTACACTTCTGCTGGAGCTTGCCTGTGTTTTTGCTAAAGTCTCTGAAACATGCACAAGTTACATAAAACTGTTATGGTACTGTAATAGTAATACAAAGCATATGTATACTAGCATGGAAACACTCCAGCCCCCCTATTAAAAATATAATTTATTTGTGTTTTAACTATGAACAGTCTGCATAGCCATATTTTGACTTTTTTTCACCAATGCATTTTCAAATAACAGCAAGAAATATTGTAACCAACAGTGAACTGCAAGGTGATGTTTTTAATGTGATGGCGTTAAAAAGCTCACTTTGCCGAAATTGCAGCATTGGCGCCGGTGTCGTTGGTTGTGAATGAAAAATCGTCATTTTATCAGTGAACGAGAAACTGAGAAGACGCAAATAAAATAAATAATACAAACACCCGGATTTCAGTGAGGATCTAACCTAGGCCTCTGAATGGCAAGCAGGTGTTCTACCACACAGCCATGCGTCTGCTTGGAAATACAGCGAAAATAACTCATGCTTTACTAACACACGCATCCTAGTACACAAGCGTTACAATACAACATATAATATCACAGTAATATTGCCACAGTAATATCGCATGGTACAAGTGTATGTTGCCATTGGGCATCAGAACATATGACTCTCATCGCAAATTCTTAGATTAATGTCGGCCACCCATTACAAAGGTACACATGTTACTGTGCATATTTTCCCCTTAAGACTAGCGGGTGCATAGCAAGCCTGAAAACATTTCACGTGCATAATTGCTCATGGTTTAAAGCATGCTACTCATTGCACAGAACGCAGTCAAATGTGAAAGCTTCACTGACAAAAGCCTCTTGAAATTTTATCAATTGCAGTGTAGTAATCCACAATTTAAACATCCCAAGTAACATTACGCAATAAAAAGTAGGCACTAAGTGGTTGAAGATTAGGGACAGGATATTGCTATCGCGTTCAACTTTTTAAGACGAAGGTACTTTTTAGCTCCATACATCAAGGTATAGTGCAAAAACGTTATTCTACATGCCAATTTATCATTCCATATCTTTGTGCCCGAATACACAATAATAACTGCTTATTAGGGCTTGAATTAATGAGTTAGTATGATGTTAAAAAGTGAGAGGACACTGTGCAACAGTGTGATGAACTTCAATCACAGCCATCAATCCTTTCTACTTCAGCAGACATGTTTGAAATTAGTTTGCGCATTTGACACCGCTCTCCTCTGTCAATGAGCTGACAAAGCTAACTTTTAGTTTAACTATGCTCTGTTTATGAGTGAAATATACAAAACATTCAATAACATAGTATTTCTGCAAGGCTAATGTGATTACATTAGTATTCATTATACATGCATGCGTGTTTAAATATGCTATTTAACAATGCACACTATTGCTTAATAATTTAAGCCACTGCTGTAGAGGGGGTGCCGGGAGAAACGCTAGGAAAATTAGACTGTCTTCTTATATACAGTGAACAGTTGGTAAAATATTTTATTCACTTTAGTATGTAATTTTCCGCATTTATATATAATCTCTTTTGTTAAAACTGATGTCTAATTTGCATGTACTTCATGCGAGGCTGCTGACAAAAAAGATAGTAAGATTTGCTTTATTAACCATGACATGAAATAACTTTCAAAAATATATGGTGAACAGAAATGTGAGCAGCTAATCTGCTTTACGAACATGACAAATTGAAATTTTATGATAGTAATTTATATAATAATGATGCCAAAGTATCACTTGTTGCACATCTGTTTTATGCCCATAATAACGGGACCTCTATGACTGCACATACCGAGCACACTGTCAGCAAACTCAGGACAACATAGAAAGCTTGACGAAAATTTCAAACATGCTTCCCTGATGCCAGAAACACAGTCGTTGAATCTGAAATAAATAAATGCATTGTAATGAATGTGAATGATAACCCCCCTATTTTAAACTAAATAAAATTTAGCCAAGCAAGCTTGGCAATACCTTGATACTATACCGTGGTGACGATGGTGTTGTATTTACAACTCTTGTGGTACTACTAACTCTGTGCATTTCCATGCACTGAAGTGCCAAGTCACGAGCAAATGCTTTATTGCCTTTTTTTTGTAACACATCATATAACAACTACATATTGCTCTGAACTAATTTTTTTATTTCCTGAATGTAGATTTTTCGGTCTGGCTGAGTTTCTCAGCATGGTGGGCTTGTCTTTTATAAGAAACATTGTTCACATTCTCATGGCTGCATTTCAAAATTATTTGGTTATTGAAACTCAAATGCACTGGACCAACAATTTTATATACGAGGTCTGTTAGAAAAGTATCCGACCTTAGTTTTTTTTTCTTGGCGAGCACCTGATGAATTTGAAACAAGCGCGCTTGCATAGGCCGAGCTTGAATATTCATTCGATTCGCGCGAATTCTTTCTCGCCTACCAATAGCGTCAGTCGCTGGGACGCAGCGTTTGAGTGAGGTAGTGCACAGTACTCTCGTTGGTTTTTCATTGCAAGGAAAATGAGGAGCGATTGGAGCAGCGCTACTGCAAGAAATTTTGCCAGAAACTGGGTGACAGCCAAGTGGAAACCATTCGGAAGATCAAGACCGCTTCCGGTGACGACGCTATGAGCTGCACACAGATTAAGGAGTCGTACAACCGGTTTGAAGTCCGGCGTACAGCGGTGGAGAGTGAACCATGCTCCGGTCGGCTATCAACATGCTGAAATGACCAGGTCATTGTCAAAGTGAACGCTATAATGATGCAGGACCGTCGTGTGACTATCTGGGAAGTTGCAGAAGAGGTGAGCATCAGCACTTTCTCTGCACATTCCATTATGACTGAAGATTAGGCCATGAAGAGAGTTGCGGCAAAATTTCGGGCCGAGACTGCTCACGGTGAATCAAAAGCTACTTTGAAGTCTCACAGGATATGCTGGATTTCACAAGTAGAGGCCCTAACTTTATGAACACCATTATCACTGGTGACGAGTCTTGGGTGTACGGGTACGACCCGGAAATCAAACGCCAATCACTACAGTGGAAGCATTCCACGTCATCAAGACCAAAGAAGGCCTGCCAAGAGCGCAGAAACGTCAAAGTGATGCCGAGTGCTTTCTTTGACTCTTGCGGTGTGGTACACCACGAGTACGCACCACAGAGTCAAACAATCGCCAAATATTACTACAGGGATATCCTCAGTCTCCTGCGTGATGCTGTGTGGCGCAAGAGACCTCAGTTGTGGTCAATAGAAAACTGGCGCATCCATCATGATAATGCTCCTGCACATTCCTCACACTTGGTTCAGACTTTTTTGGCGAAAAGTCACTCCTGTAGTTGAACAGGCTCCTTACTCTCCTGATATGGCCCTCTGTGATTTCTGGATGTTTCTCAAACTCAAGAGGACATTGAAAGGAGAGCGACTGCAGACAAGTAAGGACATTATGGCTGTAACGACAGCTCGAGCTAAACTCAATTTCAATGAGGCCTTCTCAGAATGCTTCCAACAATGGCAGCACCACTGGGAGAAATGTGTGGAGTCCAAAGGGGATTACTTCAGGGGGATTAGGTCTTTAACACTCCAATTATGCCAGTTTCTTTTCTTCTACCAAAGTTCGGATACTTTTTAACATACCGCGAATGCACTGGACTGGTAACTTTTAATGTAAACACACATATGCAATGCCTATTGGTTTATCAAGGGTTCCACATTATACTAGTCGCAAAGTTCTCAATTCTTTAAAACTGAGTGAGCCATAAGAATGCCATCGCATATCGAACCATGCAGCACTTATGGTATCAATTAATGCATGCATCCTTACCTTTCTAAGTATAGCTGGCACATATACCTGCTGCGAGGAGCCATGCTAAGCGATTTATTTGATGCCAAATAACTCAGTAACTGCACCGCTGCAAGCCGTTCAGAAGAGTGCTGAGACTAAATGTAAAAACACAAAAACAAAGAGAAGAAAGAAAGTTTCAAAGCTTTATGTAGTACTCATGAACTGACACAGAAGCGGATGGGCAAGCGTCTCATGAGATGATGTTACGTTTAAATCCCTACTGCCATCGTTACATCAGCAACATTTGATTTGCATTTGTCTTAGGCAAGTACTTCACTCAATTAGTACCATCACGTAATAGACAACTAGCAATGGCCCTGCAAAAGTTTTCAGCATGGGCAGAAAACACTGCCATTCAGTAGTTGAGGCTCCTAATGAAAACATGTAAGCCAAACATTATAGCACAGCACAAGACCTGGAATTTGCAAATTATTTTTCAAAGTCTGCTAGATATCGCTTGTTCTCTTGGCAGATGATGCCACAATCCGAAATGACCATGTGATAAATACGTTTGTTGCGTAGTTATTGTGCCTGCAATGTGATGCTCCGACATGCCTGTGTGGTCAAACGTTATCAAGGTGAAAATAAGCTTTGCATTCAAAGAAAAAAATTAAAAAAGTGCTCAAGGTCAAGGATGTATACTGACAAACAGACGTAACCTCTAGTCAGCCTACTGGGACAAAAAGAGAGAGAATGCACTTGGAGCATTTGACAAACCCCTGTAAGTTTGCTCGTACTTGAGGAATTCTAAAAATTTTGCAGGTACTCGATTCGTGAAGCAATAAACTCATTTCATGAAGCCACTCATAACAAGCTGAATAAAATGAAGAATTGATTTGAGTGTAACATGTTCCTTTAAAGGGGCCCTGCAACACTTTTTCAAGTAGCCATGGGGTTAGTAAACATACTTGTTGCCTCACAAATTTACCGCCGCAAAGTTTCTAGAATTAGTCCAGTACAAGCAGAGTTCCAAAAATTTGTCGCACGCTGCAATTGCATTTTCTTCTCATCCCGACAAAATAGCTGGAAGTTAAGCAGAGAGGAATGTCACGGCGAAAGAAAATACGTCACACACACCTCGTGACCTTGAGAACCTCTTTTGTTTGTTTTTTTCTTAAAATACGCGGCTTTTTAGTGTGATTGCGCACGTACTCGTTGACAAGCGGCGGTCTCCCGCGGCGGCCCCGGTAGCAACGAGCGCACCATGCTCAAATCAGCCAATGTATTACCCCCCAATGGAAATGATAACTATCAATGCAAACAGCATTGTTAAAATCATCATCATCAGCCTGACTACGTCCACTGCAGGACAAAGGCCTCTTCCATGTTCCGCCAGTTAACCCGGTCCTGTGCTTGCTGCTGCCAATTTATACCCGCAAACTTCTTAATCTCATCTGCCCACCTAACCTTCTGTCTCCCCTTAACCCGCTTGCCTTCTCTGGGAATCCAGTTAGTTACCCTTAACGACCAGTGGTTATCCTGTCTACGCGCTGCATGCCCGGCCCATGTCCATTTCTTCTTCTTGATTTCAGCTATGATATCCTTAACCCCCGTTTGTTCCCTAATCCACTCTGCTCTCTCCTTGTCTCTTAAGGTTACACCTACCATTTTCCTTTCCATCGCTCGCTGCGTCGGCCTCAACTTAAGCTGAACCCTCTTTGTAAGTCTCCACGTTTCTGCTCCGTAGCTAAGTACCGGCAAGATACAGCTGTTATATACCTTGCTTTTGAGGGATAGTGGCAATCTACTTGTCATAATTTGAGAGTGCTTGCCAAATGTGCTCCACCCCATTCTTATTCTTCTAGTTACTTCAATCTCGTGGTTCGGCTCCGCGGTTATTACCTGCCCTAAGTAGACATAGTCTTTTACAACTTGAAGTGCACTATTACCCATCTCGAAGAGCGGCTCTTTTCCGAGGTTGTTGTACGTTACTTTCGTTTTCTACAGATTCATTTTAAGACCTACCTTTCTGCTCTCCTTGTCTAACTCCGTAATCATGAGTTGCAATTCGTGCCCTGAGTTACTCAGCAATGCAATGTCATCGGCGAAGTGCAGGTTACTAAGGTACTCTCCATTAACTCTTATCCCTAACTGTTCCCATTCTAGGCTTCTGAAAACCTCCTGTAAGCACGCGGTAAATAGCATTGGGGAGATTGTGTCCCCCTGCCTTACACCCTTCTTGATTGGTATTCTGTTGCTTTCTTTATGAAGCATGATTGATTGATATGTGGGGTTTAACGTCCCAAAACCACCATTTGATTATGAGAGACGCCGTAGTGGAGGGCTCCGGAAATTTCGACCACCTGAGGTTCTTTAACGTGGACCCAAATCTGAGCACACGGGCCTACAACATTTCCGCCTTCTTTATGAAGCACTATGGTAGCAGTTGATCCCCTGTAGATTTCTTCCAGGATGTTCATATATACTTCATCGATGCCCTGATTCCACAGTGTCTGCATGACAATGCAGAAAAATTGTTAAAATCATTGAGTCATTAAAAAATTCGTCTTTGTGTGGCGTTGATGGCGTAAACGCTGAAGTATTAAAAAACAGCAAGCACATCCCAGCACATCACCGGTTTTTTTCTGACGCTAATATTTCAGCAATCTCTCTTCACTAAATCAATACCCTTTTATTGGAAAGTCAGTAAGATAATCACCATTTTTAAAAAAGGCGACCGTACAAATCCTAGTAGCTACCGTCCCGTTTCCTCACCAGCGTCTGTTCGAAACTAATGGAGCATATTTTACACTCACACATTGCTAATTTTCTGTCATCTATCAGATTTTTTCATCATAACCAGCACAGATTCCGCAAAGCTCACTCTTGCACCACTCAGCTCGCTCTATTCATGCATCATTTACATACCAACCTGGATCACAATATCGTGACTGACACTCTCTTCTTGGACTTCGAGAAAGCATTCGATGAAGTATCGCACATTCTTCTCATGCATAAAGTTTCGAACCTAAACCTACACCCCAACACAGTTAACTGGATAGGTGAATTCTTGACCGATCGCCTTCAATTTGTTTCTACCAGCTCATCTTCCTCCTTTCTATCCTGTTTTAACTAGTGTGCCACAAGGCTCCGTACTTGGACAACTAATCTTTCTTATATATATTTATGACCTTCCAGGTGATGTATCATTCAATATATACCTCTTAGCAGATGACTGTTCTGTATCGTCAAATAAAAACTCCACAGACTCTTCCTCTCTCCAGCATGATCTCCTCAAAATGCAAACATGGTGCAGCCGATGATACATGTCTTTCAACGTAAGTGCTCTCACGTATCTTTTCATCGCCGTCGTAACTATGTAGCATCCTTCGTACTCCCTCAACAACAACACCTTGACTACAATGCCAGACATTTAATACCTAGGAGTACATATATCTAGCACATTGTCCTGGACCCATCATATACACCAACTAACCAATGTCGTGCAATTGCTTATTAGGTTATCTATGCCGTAACTTATCATCAGCATCCCCTACAAATTGCTTGCACATAAAGCGTTCATACGATCAAAACTAAAATATGCCTCTACTATCTATGACAACCACCAAGTTAACATAGCCGATTCTCTTGAATCGGTATAAAGCTGTGCTGCGAGGTTTATTCTCTCTGATTACTACTACAAGACAAGTGTATTCGCCCTAAAATCCCAGCTATGCATCCCCTCACATTCTTCTCGTTGTAAGGCTGCTTGTCTAATCTTATTCTTTAGGTTTTTCCATTCAATGCCTCCAGGAAACCAAATCATCATTCCTGCAACATCATTCCTCTCGTCACTCTCGCGAAAAAGCTGTGTATCAGCCATGTAAACACACGACCACCTATCAACATTCATTTTTTCTGCATACTGCCGGAGAATGGAATGCCCTCCCTTAACATATCGCCCTCATCACTGACATTGCTCAATACAAGGCTGCCGTCGAAGACTATCTTTCAAGTCATAAAATATCACCTGATCCGCTAGTTTTTTTTTTTTTTCTGTCCAACCCTCATGTAATGCCCCATGCTGGACCTTTGAGGTATTATGAATAAATGGCTGTGACAAGTGATTTTTGAGCTTGTAGTATCATTTGCTGAGGGAAAAAAGCAACTTTTAGCTTTGAAAATTTATTGTGAATTACAGGCCGCGTGCTGTGCTATAATGTTTGCCTCGCGTATTTTCAGTAGCCTCGGCTACCGATCGGCAGTGTTTTCTGACCATGTTCAATAAGTGTTGCAGAGCCCCTTTAAATTTGAAGAGAGGGAGGGGGGGCTTCGCAGCAAAGCAAATTTCCCCTGGATAGACGTTTTCACGGCTTAGCATTCCTACATTGCAGTGAAACCATTTTTACAAGCGGTGACATGCGGATTATTATACACCTATTCGTTCATTGCGAATACTTAGAAAATATTTAATAATTTAAATTCGAATCGAACAGAATTCGCATACTCAACTATTCGTTTGAATATTCGCAGAAGCCTAACATTAACGTATAGTGTAAATGTCATAATTCATGATAAATGATTTGTTTGCCTTTAAGGAAGCGGTCCTAATACCTCTTTTTCTGCAATGTCTGCTATGCATATGTGCTTTCAGAAGAAAAGTATGCGAATATAGACTGACACCAAGAACTACATCACAATTAATGAGTGCAGGAACTGAACAATGTTTCACCAAGTTTTTCCTCTCTATATTTTTTTTTGGCAAAGCATCAAGTTAGTACTAACCTTAAAATACTCTGGATTAACTCCTCTCAGTTCATGAGTGCATAAAGACAGATTAGTGTGCACAATTATTAGTCGAGAGACCAGCCAGCTTCAGTGGAAGGAGAGATGGATGGCCTATGTACTCAGAACAAAGCCTATTACACCTGAAAACTTTTGAATTTAACCTGATTGCAGCCATCATGATGACATCAGTATTAACAGATAAAATAAAACTTTTGACATGCCCATAACTTGACATAACTTAAAAAGCTAATGACTTTTTATGCTGCGCACTTTAACAGAAGTGTACTGGCCTCATCTACAAGACAGTTGTACAGCACGCTTGTAACATACATGAAAATAATGTGGTCTTAAATGACCTATAGGCGTACCTGCCTGAAATGCCTGCCAATTATCTTGAACGAAAAAATATACATAAAAGAATATTCGCAACACACATTCTCAATTACATTCATTTCAATTACAGTTGATGTGTTTATAATGAACTCGATACTGCCGCAACACGTGGTCATTATATCAGCAGCAAGTACAAGTGGCACTGATACTTATCGTTTGTTAGAAGTTCTTAAACACAATACGGCATTTCATCAATTACAATGCAATCCCAATTGTGAAGAGAGGCGAGACTGTTCATTGCGTTCAAGTTTTTGGCATTCGATTGTAAAGTGAGCGTTGAGTTTAGGTAGAAAAAATTTGCAAAAAAAAAAGCTCACATTACATTAAAGTAAATACAGAACTATTCATACTTGCCTCAAACAGGAGTTGACTGATGTCGACTATGATAATATAGTCATGTGATATACTGTATATACCTCTCTTAACTCTTTCGTTACCGTGCGAAAATGGTTGTTTTTCATATGTCTCGGGAAGACCGTTTTTGGCAGTTTGAAAAGTACTTCAGCATATATTGCAGCATACCAAACTTTGCACAATGAAATGCTCTTTCAAAAAAATATATGTTCTAGAGAAAAAAAAATATTTTTGAATTAAAAAAAGAGCAAAATATGGGAATCATTTGTTGCCAGCTGGTAAACAGTACAATAAAAAACACTATAAATACAGAAATATTCAAAACAAAGAAGTTTCAGAATATATATTTTGTAGATAAATGGCCCAGGAACAGTATACAGAATAATGAATTTTGTACGAAATTCTTCTCTTCACACGGAAAAAGAAAATCCGAGCTGAAGCGCTGCTTCATTGCTCGTGCCATACGGTGAAGCATTGCAGGGTTTTTCATTAGACACAAGTGTACTCATAAACGTTTCTCAGTAAATTTTGGTTGTCTTGTGATAAGTCTCTCCAGGTGTTCCAATATCTGTGTTGTGAATAATCTCTCTATAAATGAGATGTCCAATAAACTTTGCTATTTCATCTAGTGTCATCTCTTTCCTTTAGCCACCTCGCTCCACATAGGCTGGCATTTCAATGTATGCATCCAAGCATATTTCTTTGCATTTTTGCGCATATCGTATTAAAAAAGGACAATATCACGTGCTTTTCTGAAATAGTTTTGCACTACTCCGTAGTCAGTGTCATGGTGTGCTCTTAGGTCTTCTTGCCGTTAGAAGCTCTACAGCCAGCGCCAGCGCACAGCGCCCCAGTGAAGTGTGGACCACACACGTAACCAGAGTAGCTATAAGATTGTGCACAAAGGTCAGAAGCTACACGCACTTGCAGGGGAGGTGACAACTTGAGGATGTAAACAAGACAAACCCATACACCACGGCAGATGTCTCAGGCTGACGCAAAACATTGTCGCCATAAAACTAAAAGCTGAAGTGCTGTAACCCTCGAACTCTAAGCTCGTCTTCACTCAATTCATGGGTTTGCAAGACAGTTTCGAGCAGCATATGTGTTTTGCAGCGCTGGTGCGCACCCATGCGCGCGACGATGTCATAAGAGTGACTAGTGGCACTAGATGAGACCCTGCGTCTGATACAACGATGCAAGCAAAACCAAAGCTGCTGGAAACGGTCGGGGAAAGCCCCCTTGCACTTTACACACACGGCGGACCTTCATAATTTTTTTTTGTTGAACAAATTTTTTCTGACCCCTAAAAACAGCTCTCTACTGAATAGGTGGCATAAATTTCTGGCAATTACTATCGCTCAATATTGTTAAATTGTGAAGCTGACAGTTCAATTTGGTACTTGGCTTGCAAAAATTCTTTTCATTACAGAACTTTGATGTTACTGTAGCATAATCACGAGGAGCATGCACTTCTGTCAAGTTCGCCAGCCTAGTGCACTTTTCCAACAACACACGCACATTGGCTCGCACAAAGGCATGTCAAACATTACTATGTTGCCAAAACAGGCAAATTCAAATTGATTCTGAAAGTTGGTTGCCTAGAGTAACTACTAGGATGTGTTGGGTGCAAAACAAACAAATCAAACATGCCAAAATCAACGATCTGAAAGCGTCAATCACCAGTGATCGATATGAATAATCATGGTTACCAAAGAGTTAAAATGTACGATATATGCATATCAAGCTGTGACAATGTACTGCAACATGCACATATTTAAAGACTTTATTGATGCAGTGTGCTGTCATATTCGCACAGTACCTCACCAAAATATAAGAATCCTGAATGAAAGCTATCCTAGTTTTAACTGTCCATCTCGATGCTGATATTGCAACAAGTATGCAACAGATATAAAACAATCGCTCAGTCACCTGAATCATCTCTGCCAGTTCGGAGAAGGCAAGTGGTGCAGCCATGGGACAAATGAAAATGACTTCATGAAGGAGGTACATTGTTCTCACCAAATGCACGTGACCCACATTTTTCTTAATGTGCTTGCACACCAGGCCATGTAGCAACTGCACAATCATGGCATACAACGGTCACACATGTGTAGAGTATTCATTTATTTTAATTACTGTATCTTGAAAAACATGAAAAACACTAACAGGGTGCTTGATTGGGCTGGTTGGTGCTGCATGGTAGACGAAGAAAGTGCTTAACAGCGCAAACGACAGGAGGGGATAGAAGAGACGAGAACAGAGCGCTAAACTAACAACCAAAGTTTATTGCAATCCAACTGCAATATATAGGAAAACAGTATCTATGCATAACCACGCAACATCAGCAAAATCGGACATACATCACCTCCTGTCGTTTGCGCTTTTAAGCACTTTCTTTGTGTACCATGAAAAACGCAAAACCCTACAAGTGCTTCTTCCAGCAGCAACCTCACATGCCTACATAAAAAGCAGGCAGGTTTATTAATTCATTGTAGAGTGAAGTTGTTACGCTATTAACTCCAGCTGAGCTAGAGTTTACACTGTTTCTGTGTGAATTTCAGTGGGAAGAAAATGAAATTCATTTTAGCTGCCTTGGATGTCGCAATATGTCGTTCACAAAACATTTATATCCAAGTTTGGAGCACAGGTGCAGCACTGTAAACTCGGTAGTTTGGGTCCCAAAATATATCCAACATTTTTGAAATTTTGTGCAAACATACTCGAACTGATGGTCTAAACGAAAAAAATCTGTCTGCAATAGCTACAGTTTACTACCTATCTTAATTGAAACAAATTTTTGCTTATACTCTGTTTCAAAGTTTCCATTCAGCACTGTGGAGGCTGCAGGCCCCTCAGCCACATGTATTCATCCGTGCCATGTCGTCTGCTTACCGTATTCAAGGCGTCTCCTCAATAAATTGTAGTTATTATGGCTAGGTTTGTTGACTTAAAAATGCAGTAAAGCTATTAAACAAGCAACTACACCGGGAACATGAAGAAGCGTGAATTTGATGCTCTGCTGAAGATCGGTAGGATCTCATGCCGGCCACTTTGTGGCTGTTGCTTTTCGATGCTCTTCGTGGCTCTCTTATGTCTGTTTCTCCATCGCCGCGTTTCTTCGCATCTCCCGCTGCAACACTTCTTTCTTCTCTTTTTTGTTTTTACTGAAGTAGGATCCGACGAGCACAGAACGCTGTGCGAGATTGCATGTCCGATATTTGGAGATACAGCGTTCTTGGTCTGACGATGCAGTCCAAACACTGCCTCGGCGCATGAGGCTCAGCAGGTGCGGCTAAGCAAGTAGCATATCTTGCTAATATCAACAAACCGTACCTGATGCTTAAGTCTCAGAAGGAGATGAAATAAATCAATGAGTAATTTCAACATTTGTTCACTTCTGTCAGCGCAGTGGGGGTGTAGCAAGAGCAATTCTGAATCGAAGCGGCATGGCCGCTGGATGAAAAAGCGCACGGTACGGCCTGCCACGTCCAGCGGCTTTCTATGGGAGAGCACGTGTCAGCCGTAGTTGCAGTTGCGGCTGCTGCAGCGCGACAGGGCGGGGACGGGATGGACGGGGAAACGGGTGGTGGCGGCACTTCTGGGGCCACAGCCGCAGCAAATTAGCTGGTGGTTGTCACAACACGGACCCATTCAGTTGTTATCAGTGTTTTTTTTTAACCTCAGTTATCAGAATGATTTAATCTCACATATCATGTATTTAGTAGAGTACGTAGGCACTATCTAGTTAAAAAGCCAATTGAAGTTTCGTGTGCGTGCCGAGCACCCGAAGTTTCTCTTTTCCAGACCCAGCTTCTTGCTTTGAGGCTGAAAGAAAAATCCACAATGCACGTAGCAGCATTATATGGCACTGAATGTGTGACAGAGTGGTTGTTCTATTTATGAAGATGCAACGCATCATTTCTTAAACTTACGTATTTAGATTTCTATGACGTTTATTCAGCACCTTCGTGGTTTCTCAGCCGGAATGCTTGACAACTATCTTTTTAGACACTTGGCAATAGACGTTCATAGATTCTATATGCTGAAAGTGTATGAAAAAAAACCTAATTTAAATCTTTTTCATGTTATCCAGTATGTGATAGTGCGCTGAAAAGTAATTCAACTTTAAATCTTTAAACGCTGGATAAAAGTGGTTTCTACAAACATGGTGACACGCTCCTCGTAGCTTTATTGAAGAGGTTGTGAAAGTATGCATCATTAGAAGTGGCAGTCAAATTTCTTGATAGTTCTTACTAGGCAGGACAATATATATATATATATATATATATATATATAAACACACACACACACACACACACTACACACACATCACACACACACACACACACACACACACACACACACACACACACACACACACACACTGGCATGAAGTGGCTTATATCTTGAGCAATGACACTGACAATAATACGTAGGCTTCAACTCCGAAAAAAAATCATGAATTCGCAGAGATAAACACAAGCTATATTTGTCTGTGACATGCAATTCCCCAGTTTATTTATATACGGCCGGGTAAAGAAACATCCATGGCTGCTTTAGGGCAGTCGAGTACACGTGCCTTTGTTGACTGAATTTGAGCAAAGTGGGCACCAAGGCTATTGGAACTGCAGTGATTGAGGCTTCTGGCCTGATGGAAGAGCAAGCAAATGAAGACGTGGTGTACCCCAACTTCACACAAAATATCGTCGGAGTTAGCAAGCCTGAACCAGATAATGCAGCAAGGTATATGAGAATCAAGTCCTTAAAGATCGTGAAAACGGAATATAAAGTCAATGCGTACGAAACAGCCCCACACGCCACTTGCAAAGGTGTGATTAGACGAGTAGACATGCGGGACTCCCAGTCCGGTGTAACAACAAATATCGTGCATGAGCGCAATCCGCTTGCTTTGGCTGCAAAGAGCATCAAGACGTCGGCTTAGTCATCATCCTCTTCGACGGACTGCGCGTGCCAAAGTTTGTAGGCTACGGACCGACCTTGGTGAGATGTTACCTGCACAGGAAACAATTTGATGTGTGTTTCACTTGTCGTAGGGTAGGACACCGTTCGAACGTTGCCCAACACCAGACTTACCCCCGTATTCCCAAACGCTCCTCGACTCAACTTTCACCCTTCACTTGACAGAGTTGAGCACTGCGCCGCTGCTCGGCTGAAAATGACGCTGCGCTACTTAAGAATAGCAGCAAATTATCACTGATATGCTGTGACTTGCCCTGCCTAAAGATGGCACTCCCATCGGCTTTCTCAAGTGAAGGTGGAGCATTGAGTGAAGGGGCGTTCTAGAATACGGGGATATGTTTAGTGTCAAGGGTGTGGAGCCCTGAACCCGCCAGAGAACCACATCTGCACACCCACGTGCAAGTTCTGCGAAGGAAGCCACCCTACCAGAGACAAAGCGGGCAGGAAGCGGTTTCAAGTACCCTATGTGATGCGGGCCCGCCGAAGGGAACGCGACTGGTCCCGATCGGCCATGAAGGCACCCATGGAGACGCCAAGCCTACACAAGAGCCCCAGAAAGCACTCACGCTCTCGGGGCTGCTTGAGATCTAGACATCGCTCACTACATAGGAATAACAGCCGCTCCAAGTCGAGAGGAGTGCCGGAGAGCTAAGAAGTCGGAGCACCTGGTGCCACGCCGGCTACTAGGACCACCTGGGCCAATAAAGTAAAAGGTACCGTGAGAGTCGCTGGTAGCACTACTGCACCAGTGGTGACTGACAGCAATGATAACAGAATAGATCAATTGATTAGGAAGGTAAACTGTTTGCAGAAGGCTAACGAAGAACTGACCAAACAGGCAATCGAACTCAAAAAGAAGACGCAGCCATGCCCTGCGAGCGTAGTAACAGTCAGGCCAGTAATATAGATTTTAAATTAAAAAAAGGCCAGTAATATACATTTATTTGAACAAAAGAAGTCAAAATAATGACTTATGCGAGGGGGGACAGCTCCCCCGCTCCTAAGAAGAGAGCAGTTCGCCCCGAAAGTCATTCGGTTTTCTCCGTGCTTACTGAACTATAAGAGGTAATTAAATAAATCAAAGAGACGGTGGGAAGGACTAACTTTAAAGTAGTCAAACTATGGGAATAAAGATTGACGGCAAAAAAGAGATTCAAGAAACTCGAATCGAAAAATGACGAGGACGACGAATTGTTGCCGTCAGACTCTGAAATCTAGATTCACTCTCTGGACTGTCAGGGAGTACTCCAAAAAGAATGACTGCGGGTAACAGTACACTAAATTGATCCAATAATTATGGCTAGCACCCATAGTTTTCGTGTGTGGCCATGGAATCGTCGCACATTCCTCAACAAAAAGGCATCACTGCGCCAATTACGAGGTCAATGGGGGACAAACCAAAAGTAATTGTGCTGCAGAAAACTTTATCAGATGAGGTCAACCCAACCGGCTACAAATCGGTATGTAGAGGAAAACATTGCGGAAGAGGATTGGCCACTCTTGTTGACAGAAAGCTACCTTTTATCGAATACAATATCCCCCTTGGATTGACTAAAATCAAGTATACTCTAGTCGAAGTCGTACTTAAAAGGCATGGGGGCAAGGGGCACAGCATCTTCTGCTTAAACATTTACAGTAGTCCCAGTGCCAAGAAACAGAACTTCAGGGCACTTTTCAACAAGGCACTCGCCATCGCCAAGAGCTCCCCGCTTATATTAGCAGGAGACTTTAATGCCCCCTACTAGGCGTGGGGATACACTTGAATACAAAGAAAGGAGAAAGGCTATGGGACCACACCACAGATCTCAAACTGAGCCTGATCACCGATCCGGTTTTTCCCACCCGCTGTGGTATGTCCATGTGCAGAGACTCTACACCAGACCTCACTTTTGTGAAGAACTCAAACAAAGCTAGTTGCGAAAACTCCTGCACAGATCTAGGTAGCGAATACTGTATCTACACATTAGTATAGGAAATGCCGAAACAACGGACGAGAACCTTTTGGTGCACCGACTGGCCTTTTTAGGAAAGCTAGAGCAAAATGACTAGAGTCTGAACCCATGGAAACGGGCAGACAGTCCTTTCAGAACTGGATC